AGCCGCCTTAGCCATCCCCCATGCGTGCAGTGAGGGCAGGGTGCCACGCGTCAGAGGGCAGCGCTGGGCCTGGAAAGAGCTGCCTGTTCGCGTTTGCCCCTGCACCAAGCACACAGCTGGGCTTCACATCCCTGAGTGCTTTCGGTGGGGGCCTTCACCCACCCACCTCTTCTTCCCTGTTTTCTCTGCATTTTTTGGCAGCCCAAGGAATGCAAGGGGCTCCCCAGTGCCCCCCAGTTTGAAGCCCGTGCACTGCCGCTGGGGCAGCCCCAAGGCAATCCGAGGATAGTGCAGGGGTTCATGTGCTGCAGAGGGCGGCCAGGCCAGCAGAGAGGCTGCTTGTTTGCTTTCTTTAAAGCTCAGCTGTAGCCAAAGCACTGTTTTAATTCGAAATTTGGCAGGGATTTAGCCCTTTTGTAAACTAAAGTCATTCCGTGTTTCTGGAGGAGTGGAGAAGAGAGAAGTGAGGGGGATTTTTGAGCTGTAAATAGAGCAGTGGGAGGTTCGGAGGGAGTGTTTCTGCCCGGTGCCTTCGCTGCTGCTTTGAGAAGCACTTCCCTGTTCTCGAAGGGTGGGAGGCGTCGCTTCCCCGGCTCCCAGGGCTCCCAGTTGAAGGAGCAGCGCTGCCGCCGCCGCCAAGCAGAGCGGTGTCAAGGGGAGGCCACGGCGGCTGCTCTGCTGTGTCAAAACAAAATGATGTGTGTTGGAGTCACGCTATTGCTGCAGAGAGGAAAGGGCTGGGAATGAGCAAAGGGAGAAAAGAGATGATGAGAGTGGAGCTGGAGCTCTGCCTCTCTCTGCCAAGGCTGGGGAGGGAGAATTTCCGACTCTCTTTTCCTAGATTGAATGTTCCACGCCCTCATGGGCACTCCGTGTGCACCACTGACAATCTCCTTGCAGGGCAAGATAGCACCAGCCCAAATGGATGTTGTAACAACAGGAGAGAGGGGTGAGCACGTAGGAGGGCACTTGCTCTTTTGGGGGAAGTGAGCGGCACATTTTTTTCTGCACTGCGGAAAGGACCAGAGGGCAGCGAGCTACCCCTCTTTTGTACCAGGAAGCACAGCCGCAGAGGTTACTGGGGACTGAAAGACAGTAGGTTCGCAGAGCCTACAAGCCACCATCACCTGGGGCATCCCCTTTGGCCCCAGAGTCTGCAGACCCCTGTGGAAAACAGGGAGCAGGAGCACTGGAATAGCGGGAATGCATCCAGGCGCTCTCCAGGCCAGACTTCCCTGTGCCAGAGAGGCCGTTGGAAAGGCTGGAAATTGCTACAAGTTTGATACATCGTTTGGGAAAGTCAGCTCCTGCTGAGAGGCTCATTTTATTCACCTAGGAAGAGCCCACAGAGGCAACACAGCCACCATCTGCAAATGCCTGTGTGTAGAGTGATGCATGGTGAGAGACAGCGCTCTGCCCTGAGATGGACAGACTGGGCTGGAGGCAGCGCTCAGTGCCCGGTTTTACACCAGACAAAGTCAGTATAGAAAGAAACAGCAATTTTATTTTTTCTCAATTGCAGTCATTTGCCTTTGAAGAGTGTGTCTAGTTTCCAGCAGTTGGGACTGGGTGTCCTTTCCTAAGCCATAGCTCTTGGCTCGGCACAGAGGTCTCTGCCTGAGGCGGTGGGCACTGCTGGTAAGCCCGTGCCGGCGGCTGGTGTGGGGTGTGTGTGTGCTGGTGGGAAGTACACGCCAGCCCGTGTGCTGTGCTGGCCTCGGCTTTGCAGAATTGCGCTTCCTTGGGCAGGTTTGGAGAGCTTTCCTGCAGAAGACGTGCGTACGTCTGTGGTGGCACACCGGAGAACCTTGTCTGCTCTTGTACGTCCCCTATCTGCCCTGGCAAGGTGTATCAAGCCCCCTTCCAGTAACCACCCCCTCCCTGGCCCAGTCCCTCCCAGCCCTGCTACTGTTTTAAAACAGATGTACATTAAAACTGTACTTAATCTCTGGAAATACTGATTCTCTCCTGCTTTCCCTCCCTGTGAGTTCATACAAATGTAGTACTTAAGTCGCCCCTTGTCTTTGATTAGAATCTCATCTTTCTTTTTTCAGTTCCCATAAATTAGCCTTTTAGCTGGCAGTGCTCTCAGATCTGACAGATAACAGCCTTTTCTTGGCATCCGGCCATTTCCATCGGCATCACTAACATCATCTTTTGGGCATGGCCGGCTAGGTGCTCACAGCCATCATTCAGCACACATGCTTGAAAAAGGGTCTTTCACTCAGGAGAAGGCATTCCTCATGTTTAAATACTGTTTACCCTAATTTTCTTGCCTCCCCTTCCCCAGTATTTTTTTTTCCTTTTAAAATGCAAAGTAAATTGCTCCCGAAAGCTGCCCTTTAAGCAAGCAGCTCTCCACGGCACAGGGCAAGGCGTACTTCCCCCATTCTGCCCAACAGCTTGCAGGGCTTTTCTGGGGACCATTTTCCCGAGAGGGTCACTTTCCATGGCCTGCTCCACTTGTGGCGATATTGCTGAGACTGGTCACGAAGGAGCCTAACCGATGACAAATAGCAGGCTCATTTCTGTGACATGAAATCATCTCCACTAGGAGCCGAAGTCAGACCACCAGCTTCAATTCCCACAGACAGCCACACAGCCAGAGCTGATTTTGTTAATGACTCGAGAAACCCCAGTATGGAAAAAGAAACATCAAGTTACATTTTTCCAAAGCCGGCGTGGAGACCTGTGTGACAACATACAGTCTGACAGCGATGAAATGGCACGTGGGGAACAGAAGAATGAGGGCCTGCCATGGGCCTGAGGAGGAAGGAGAATGGGCGAGGAAGAATATATCATTTAAGCAGGACTTGGAGTTATATTAGCAGGGGAAATTGAGAAAATTGCTAGAAGAGTAAATAGGTTTGGGGCTGGGCCTTTTGTATCCATGTTCTCTCTTTTCAAGTTTTCCCAGCGCTCCTTCCTTTCAGGCTGGAAGAACTGGTGTTTTTTTGAAAGTGTTGATTAACCAATACTTTGTTTTTTCTGGCTTTTCCTCAAGGCTGCCCTGGGAAATAAAAAAGCTAACTTGTTCTCACACAAAATTTAGAGAAGCCTCAATATGGAAAGGCAAAAGACTTCCAACAGCTTTTGCCTGCACATGGGCTCCTTGGGCAGATCATGGTCCAGTTTTAACCTTTGCTCATGTTTGAGCAACCTACTGCACTCTCTGTAGGGTGGTGTGGGTGACACGGGTGGCAAATTTCACTGCTTGTCATCTGACAGAGGACTAGCAAAGCAGATGTCTCTGCATGTAAACTGCTTTGCAAGTTATTTTTCCACATGTTCAGCTCTAAATGTTTGCAAGAGGCCCTCCGGCAGTTCTCCCAGCCCTAAGATGTTGCCATCTGGGCTTGTCAGTTCTGGAAGTGTTAAGAAATCGTGTGGACTCGCTGCTAAAGTGAGGCTTTACAGAAGATGATGTGCACCTATGTTTCTTCAACAAGCCACCAGCAGCCTTCACTTGGCTTAATTACTTGGCTCACCAGACACCGAGCTCGTTGTCAGGAGGGGCAAGCGTTGGGTTTTTGTGTGTTCCTGTTGCCAGGCTCACTTGAAAATTCAAAGAATCTCTTAATCCTTTGAGGGCGGAGAGAAAAAAGACAATTCTGCCCAAAGAATGGGTATTTGGGAAGGTGTCGGTATGAGCACAGAGGATCATTGCAGTCAGGTGTAAGGTAGCGCAGGGGCAGCGTGGTGTGGTCAGCAAAGTTCCCTGCTCTGGAAGTGAACCTTAAAGTGTCGCTGGCAGGGATTGCCTGGTACCAGTGCCGGGGATAGCAAAAAAGTGGATTTGGTGATTCAGGAGGCCTTTTCAAGTCCTAAATTGCTGTGCAAACATTCATAATTATTCTTTTACAAGGTTTTGGTTAATTTCTTTGCTCTTTAGGCACAAGTTACATTCTTTGGGTTTGGTTGTTTGTAAGTAGCCTCTTTAAACTCTTCTTGTCATTTTTGCACAAGATGCGAAAGAGCCTTCTTTTTCAACCACAACTCTTCCAAGGGTGTGGCTTCCACCACTTTCTAGAAGTCCCATATTTTCTGAATTCCTGATGATTTTGTGGTGCCTTCTCAGTTGAGCACCCCAAGTTACAGCCAGCTTTGAAAAATCTAAGCAGATCGAAATGAAAGGGCATTTTCTTTTGGAAAACTGAGGAAGAGACACGGTAACTATATGTAGAGATAATACTAGGAAGACTGCACAGGAAAATAACTTCTGCTCAGATTATAGCATGTGCCTTTGGTTACTAGTCCTTGATCTGTGCTGAACAACAAAAAGAAATGTTACAACTAAAAGGAATTTGGATCACAGAAATGTTAACATAAATGCCTGGATATGGACAGCCATTTGCTTCCCATTTCAAACAGCTTTTGCATTAGAACATATAATGATGATATATGACTTCCTCAAATTACTATGAATTTATCTGAAACCCAAAGAGAAACTGAGTCATTGAAGGTCTGTGTCCAGTAAGATGGATGGGAAAAGATGAAAAGTAGAGTGTGCTAAATGGATCTAGCATTAGTGGCATGTAATGATAGGCACTAAGATCCTATTTAAAGTTGTAAGGATAATACCCGTGGGCATGTTAATAGTGAATTATGGCCATTATGCAGGCACCAATGACAACATTTTAGTGCCGTTCAAGTTACCTGGTTTCTTTGCTTTTCACTCGCTCTCTTCTTAAAAGCTGGTCATTTGGTGGTCATTAAATGTGATGGAGTAGAAAGATCCTGTTCTCTCAGGTGTGTAAGAGAATTTATTGACTTTGACCAAAGGAAGAAGAGGAAGAGTTCTTTCTCCTTTCATGAGCAAGAGCCTTGCAGTAGTTTAACTATTACTTTCTTCTGTCTGGTCTCGCAGTCCAGTGACCAGGGGCAATAATGATCCTGAAAGGGCTCTTTAAACAAATGGTGTTTCCCATTTTGTTGTTCCAGTGAACTTCCCAAGACTGGAGGATGACTTTCCAATCTCTGAGCAAGACTTTGAAGACAACAGCGACCCAGGTTGGTACCCAAATGCCACATGGGCAATTTATCTGGGGGAACTTGTGTTTCAGTATCAGATGCTACAATTACTCACAAACTTTAGCTTTAATGGGAGTTGGGAGCTAGAACACACATGAGAACATACACTGAAGTGGTGGCTTGGTGTCTGGACAAAAACATTAGTTTTCCTTTCTTGTTTTCCTTCTTCGACAGCCAGCAACCTTGCAAAGTCAATATATTGTATTTGTGTTAGGACAAGTGGAACTGATCTTTCAAGTATTAATTGCCGCTTGCCTGGCACTTTGACTTGTAAATGGAGAAAATTAAGTCTGGGAGCTGTGACAGATTGTTTCCGTAGTTCTGAACCCAATGGCACTTGAAGGGCCAGAGTTTTGGTGGATTTAAAATGCTAGCATGCTATTTACATAGCCTGAGATGTAAAAGTGAATTAGGGAGCCTACCTTTCGTGATAGATTGGTGCTTCACATTACTTCTAGACGTGGGTTAGTGAATCCTACTGAGATATACCCATGGTGGGCCTTATACTCTTTTAAGGCCATCACAGCTCCAAGTAAAAGAATGCATAAAGGTGGTGGAGGGGAAAAAGTGATCCCTGGATAATAAGTGCCCATTCCACTGCAGATTACTTTGGATCGGATAGGAACGACACACTGTTCTCTACTAACTCTCCAGGAACCCCAAAGCTGGACAAAGAAAAAAGCTGGCTCTACACCTTGGATCCCATCCTGGTGACCATCATAGCTATGAGCTCCCTCGGTGTCCTCCTTGGGGCCATCTGCGCTGGTCTGCTCCTCTACTGCACATGTTCGTACGCTGGCCTGTCCTCACGGAGCTCCACCACCTTGGAGAACTACAACTTCGAGCTGTACGATGGCATCAAGCACAAGGTCAAGATGAACCACCAGAAGTGCTGCTCGGAGGCCTGATGGCTGCCCTGGGCATCACCCTCAGTGTTGTGCTCGGTGAGGTGGGCTGGCAGGAGGTTATTTTTTTTGCTGTTTTCTATGGGAACTGAATGCCACAACGAGGAACAAGGGGTGCAGGAGGAGCGAGGGGATGCGCTGCTCCTTGCTGCCAGGTCCCAATGGTGGGTCACACTCCACCAGGACCGAGCGGGCTTTCCCACAAACCGGACTGTGCCGGGGAAGGGAGGACCAAGTCCCTTGTTTGTTAGTTCATCTTCATTTTCTGCTGATGCGAGTGGCTGGGACGTGGCAAGGGAGATTGGTTTACCTTTTGGATATGAGAAACTAAATGTTGATCATTATTTCCCACCTCCTTCATCTGGTGAGTTGCTGAGCAGGCTGAGGGATTTCTTCAGCCACTGTTTCTATAGAAATAACTTGCACTCACACATACACACACACACAGCGACCCTGTCCATTTTAGACCCCATCCAGAGACCGTTTTGGCTTTAAGGATTTGTGCACATCACACTAAGTCCAAGAAGCTGCAGTTTCCAGTCCTGAAAAATGGAAGTATGTTGTTACCTTCAACTTTCATTTTCCTGTTAGGGGGGAAAGGTGTGATACTGGCTTTAGTGTCAATGGTAACAGTGCTTTCTGAAATCATTAGAAATTAAACAGAAAGGAAACCGTATGTGTAGAAGCACCTCTTTGAAAGAAGCTGAAGAGCCTTAAAGTGATTTGTGAATAAGAGCCATTTATTAAATCCAGATCTTGGATTATAACAGCTGAGTCCTTCATCAGGAAGGCCTTGCTTTGAATCTCCCACCCCTCTTGATCCTGCCCTTTTTCTTTTCCTTTTTCTTTTTGCTATAATGAGAAGATTGCAGCAAACAAAAGATAGAGCGTGTCAGGCTGCTGGTGCTCAAGCGTTGGCTTTGGGAAGGGGACTTCACTCGGAGTTTGGCTTGACACGCAGTGTTGAGGCCTCTCCAAAGTGCTGGGGAGGGAAAATGAACAGGCAAGGAGGCTGGAGCCATGCCCACAGCCCCAGGAGCCTGACCACGGCACCTGCCACCCCTCCTCACCTTCACGGTGCCCCCCCTTCTCCCTGGAGCTGGGGGATGTCAGCACCACTGGACCAAACGGCTGCCGCTGTATTCCCTTCGGAGCAAAGCTGTGCTGCTCCCAACTGGTAGCAAAACCCCGAAGTTTTATTTATGAGCTATATTTTGTTTTACTTTGAACAAGTGCCTTAGAAGAAGTATTTTTCCTCTGTCTGATGATCAGTGCTGTATCAAACAAGTGAGGCCTTCATCCTTTCCCAGCAAAACACTTCTTCACTGCTCTCTGTGGGGTAGAACTCAGCTGAAAAAGTCTGGTCCTTCTACTTTCAAGTGGTCTGGCTACATTGGCTGGCAGCTGATACCACTCCACTTACCACTGTGCTGTGGGAGAGGAGTGTTATGAAAACAGTTTAATGGACAAAACGTGCTGGGCCCCAAACCAATGCCTTCATTTCCAATTCAGTACAGACAGATCGCCCCTATCAGCTTGCACATGTATAAGCGAGAAGAAACCTTTCCAGCACATTGGGTTTGCTTTTCCAGGGGCTCTTTAGAAATACCTGATGTCTTGAAGTTACACTCTGCCTAGCAAATAGTTTGGGTTCGGGATGGACTTTTCCCCCCCCTCACTAAGTGCAGAGCGACAAAGGTGTGAGATGCTGTGAAGCTCGGTTTGCACAGTCCCTGTAAACACATCCTGCAGGAGACCAGATGTTTGGGGAGAGAAGCAACATCTGGAGATGAGAGGAGCATGGACAGTGCCACAGCTGCTCCTCAGTGCAGTGGGAATAGGAACATTTGTCTGCTGTTTCATGAAGAGCTCCATCAGACAGTAAGTTTTTAGGAAAAAAAGAAAGACTTCTGCATTGTAGGAGAGACACATATGTTACTGGGGAAGCAGGTACCAGCAGCTGTGTCATCAAAACATCCACGGTTCATACACGCACACGTAGAGACGTGTGCACACAAAGGCCTTCATTTTTTTAATTCACACTGTGCGCCCAACAGAAACAGCAGTAAATGTATCTCAGATTCTTCTTTCGAATCACCTTATTTCTTTTGGCATTCTTCATGGACAAATTCCACAGGGGTGTTATTTTACTGTACAAAAGGAACAGAGGCAGTAAAAGGAAATGTACCAGACCATTTCAAAGCTGAATTGCTGCTGCTCAATGATTTTATCCTCTTCAAATCACAGGAGAGGGGAAGGATGAATGGAAAAGGACCATACAGTAGAAAAGTCGACTTAGGCAAACAATAGGTGAAAATATATAATGAAAACGGTGACGTTATGGTGTCTAGTAGACGTACAGAGAGAGGAGTTCGTATATACATAATTCAGAAATAGTGTGTTTGCACACGCACGTGAATTCTCTGTATGTATCGTGTATGTGACTTATTCCGTGGGACTGACTCGTGTTAATATATCTCTTGATCTGGGGCAGGAGAGTACTGCGGATCTTGGCACTAACTTGGCACGGGCCCAACTAAGCATCCACCCCACGTGTCCTGCTTGCCCCTTCCAGACGGGCCAGGGCCCTCATGGGTGCGCTTGCCGGGCAGGAGCAGGCCGATAATGCTGCAAAGCTAATACCTCACTTACCTCTGCTGGGTGCTTTACTGTTCTTCTACAGAAAACTGTGTTTGATTGTAACTTCAACAGGGAAAAAAAAAAAGTCGTCAGTGCATTCAATTCATTGCATCCTCCTCTGCAAATAGATTAGGTTTTCTGATCACAATTCCCTCTGTGAAATTCAGAAAAGAAGAAAAACAGAAACCTAAATCAGTGTTAATGCATTTGCTGAAACAGGCTGTTGCCTCCACACCCTTCCCATGCCGAGGACATGTTGCTATCGGGCAGGTATCGGTGCTGGGTGATTTCATTTTGTGGGAAGGTGCCAGGGCTAAGCATGGGAATTAAACCATTAAGAAATTGTATGCAGAAATGGAACTTCTCCAAGGTTTGCAGTTCAAGGTATTTGACCGTTCACTGGCTGAGCCAGAACTTAAGGACTTAAAGAGCTTTTACTGTGATTCTTAAGTGTAAAAACAAAAAAAAACCAAACAAAAAAAAAAAACCACAAAAATCAAACTGTGTTTATATGATTTGTATAAAAACCTTTTAAAACTGCTATTTAATAAACATTATGGTAGAGAAAATGCTTCAGTGGCTTTTTTATTTATGAAAGAGCGGCAACAAGGAAGTTCAACTGAGAGGTTTATGGGCACCCGGAAGCCCGAGGGAAACCAAGGCATGGCTGAAGGCATGCAGAGCCATGCCTTTGCTGTGGTGTGCCTGTCCCCTTGGGGCATCCCAAGCAGCCTGTCACCTCGAGGTGATGCAGGGCTGTGCACGGCCTCTCCTCCTGGAGCTGGAGGTATCTGGAAGCTGCTCTCCCAAGAGAAGCACCTGGGCGCAAACCCAAAAGGGGACACAGGTCCCTTCCTGCCACCTTGCACCACTTCTCAGTGCTGCTGGCCATCCTGGAAAGGAGTGTGGTTTTAGGCTAAGAGAGTGACAGAATTGCCTAGATTGGAAAAGACCTTTGAGATCATCAAGTCCCATCACTAAACTGTCATTGATGAATCCTCAACTAAACCGTGTCCCTAAGCACTGTATCTGCCTGATTATTAAATACCTCCAGGGAAGGGGGGTGCCACTGCCCTGGGCACCCCGTTTTGATGCCTGATAACCCTTTCAGTAAAGGAATTCATCCTAATATCCAATCTAAACTTCCCTTGGTGCAACCTCCATTCAGGTAGCTGTAGAGAGCCTCCTTTTCTCGAGGCTAAACAATCCCAGTTCTCTCAGCCACTCCCAGTAAGACATGTGCGAACCCTGGCTCCACAAACTCCTCTCCATCCTCTCTCCACCCTGATGGTGGCCCTGGCCTCGGAGAGCCTCATGTCTTGTGGGGGGTCCGAGCACCCTGCCCCTCTCCCGACACCAGGCATCTGGCTAGAGAAGCAGTGGGGCTCAACCTACAGCATGGAAATGCTTGTTTATTTACGGGCACCCTGACAAACAAGAGCCAATCCATCAAGTACCAGGCACCTCAAGAGCAAATGAAATTTTGCCGCCGTCTCCTTGCCTCCAACGCGGTGTCCCCCTCCCAAAGTCTGTGTGTGTTAAAGAGGGTCTCTGAGTGATGAAGGGCAGCTGGCAGCTTAGATGAAGATGACAGTGTAGCTGCAACCTTGACAGCTCTTCCCTTGCCCAGGAATAAAGAACCGATGTGCAGATTGATACCTGGGGAGAGGCTGTCAGAGAGCAGGACGGAGACGGCAGATAAGCGACTCAATCAGTGTCAGACCTGTCCTGCTGTAACACCGCCTGTAAATCACTGCACTTAAAGAGGCGCCTCCGCTAAAGCGAGGAGCGGAAAGCGGGTAATAGAAAAAATGGGTGGTGAAGCAGATGTGTGCACCGCCCAGGTTAAAAGCCTGGTAGCGGGTCTGCAGCTGCCTGCTGGGTACAAAGGGGAGGCAAGCACCCACTTCAGGAAAAGGAAACCTGTAGGGTTGTTTGGTTCTTTTTTTACCAGGAGTTGGGGCTCATTTGGGTGGGCTGCTCTGCAGCCGGCAGGATGGGGAGGGACCTGGGGGTGCTTCTCTGCGTTTGCCATGTCCACATGGGTACCTGCTGCCAGCAGAGGCTGGAGTTGGGGGGGGCTGCAGGGGTGTTTCATGTGGCAAAAGAGTAATCAGCAGCTGAGCAGGCAAATGAAATCGATTTCACCATTCTCAGGCTGCTCCAAGATGGGGATCCAGCTGCTCCAGCATGTCCTCAAGCACTGACTGCAATCGTGCATGCACCCTCGCTGTCTCTCTTGCCCCCTTCTTCTTTGAAATATTCCTTTGCTTTCGAGTTTAATGGGAAATCTTTTCAAATAATGACTTGCTCTCTGGACAGCTGGGGGCTTGGCAGTGAGGGGGAGCCATGGGGCTGTGCTAATGAGTAGATTCGTAATTAATTAATTGCAGGCAGGTGCAAGTGGAGCCTCCCATTGCCCCTGTCTCCTCTGTCTCTCTCTGAAGAGCTGTCTCCCAGAGCCTGGCACTTTCACCAACCATACAAGGGGACTGCATGAAACCTGATGCTGGCTTTGCTGTGGATCCAGGCAGGACAGCGGCTGGTGCTTCCATCCCCTCCCCACAGGGAGCCTGCCTGTTGCAGCACAGCGCCTTTACATCTC